CTTAGTGATGTTAACTCCATGATCTCCAAGTGAACTATTTACCTCAAGAAAGACACACACACGCACACGTTTGAGCAGTATTCTTTAATATAAAAGCAGAAAGAACCTCAATTGAATGCAACATAGCTGACTTCAGCGTATATTGGAGCGCTTCACAGAGTAAAGCCTTTACAACATAGTTCAATATTCAGTATTGCAGTAAACAAAAATCAAATTAACAGGAAGAGCTGAACTAAAGTCAATTATGTTAAGAGAGCTTTTCTCTTTTTGCGAGGTGGTTTTCTTATCTTATTTGGATTTGGAACAAGCTTCTTGATTTTCAAAGGCTGCAAAACTACTTTTGAAAAATCAAGTTGATTGCTTTCAGCACGCTTCCGCTTCTGGCTTGTGAGCTCTTCCCCCAGTGCTTCTGCAAGCTGCTCAGGATCTTGAATTTCTGAAGAATCTGAATCTGCTGCAGATGGCTCAGTTCCGTACTGAATCCATGGCACTTCCAAAGCGGGTATCTTTGGAATTATTGCTTCTACTACCTCAGTGAATTTATCAGACTGCCTTTTAAAGCCTAGTGCTAAAACAGAGGTTAAGCCAAGAAGCGGCGCAATTGTTTCACTGAGACGGGGAACTTGGCCTGCTGGTGTTGCTCGACTTGCACTCAAAGGAATAAGATGGGATGTGATCATGTCAGGTTTTGCAGACTTGCACACCAGCAAGAGAATAAGTTCATTTTTTTCCAAAGCTTTTGTTACTTCATTAACTCCAATGGCAAGCTGCCTTCTGATATTTAAGTCAGTCCATCCTATTTCTTGTTGATTGCCTTCTGTTTCCTTTTCTTTAGGGAGTTCACTGTTGGTAGTATCACACTTTTTCTCCCTTTTTTTTGTAATGGAACGTCTTTTCTTCCTTGGAGTCTCAATCTTCTTAAGTCCAATATGCTTAATCCTTTCTTCTAAAGCCTGTAGTATAAAATGCATATCATCTCCATCTATGGTTTTCCACTGAATAACATAGGGGTCATCTAAACATGTTTTTACATTGATTTTCTTTGCTTTACGGAGTGATGCAGTCCCTCGCTGAATTACAGGCATCCTGATGTTCTTTTGTATTTTGCCACCTTAGCTGTGGAGGGAAGAAAAAGGTAAAGAGTAGTTCAAATACTATAACGTTTACTGTGGACACCCTGTCAGAAGTTTCTCCTGGAGCCCAGTAGAGAAACCTCAGATCTCAAAGTGATTCTGGCAGCTATCACCCTCTTCACATTAGCTCAGTGCTAATCCTTTAAAAAGAAATCTTTTCATTCTTCATTCCAGGTCTTAATTATTTTTAAGATCTGTCTGCATTTAGAAGATGTGCTAGAAGACAGAAGATGTGTGTCTAACTCCTGTGTTTTTGGTGAAGGAAGGCACTTTTCGGGGCCTCCAGACCGTTCAGAAGAGGCCTTTTATTCTTGCATCATCTAGACCATGCCTGTAGGGCTGAGAAAAATGAAACTGGAGCACAAGAAAGGATAATTGTTCTAGCTCTGACCTGTCCAGACAGGATGGCAGGCCCAAGTACAGGCCTGGTTAGCTGAGCAAGGCCCCATACTTTTGCTTGGGTTCCTATTCACTCACTATCTCTCTGTGAAATTAGTGTATTTTTATTGTTGCACAGCCAAGCTTACACAATCAGAAGAGCTTAGGTTTCACATTAATGAGAATTAGCACATGACTCTCTCCTTAGGTTTCCCAATTACCCAAGCAGAAATCTTGCAGGCATTCATGTACATCTCTTGAGTGATGGCCTCTAGGTATCTAAAAAATACCGTTTCATTAGGCCTATGAATTCTCTACGTACTGACAGCAAGCTAGCTTCATTAAAATTTATGGAGCTATTGGCCACGAAGCTGTCAAGCCCCATTTGCTCACCTTCACGGTGGAAACAACTGAAGCATGGAAATGATGGCTAGAAAGCTTGCACGTGTATAACAGCCAGAGTTAAAAAGCAAAATGGAAGCTTACAAGAGAGAGCTTAAAAGAAAAAAAGAGTTCTGTTTCGATTATCTGTTGTAAAGACTCTGGCCACTTTTTACAGTGGGTATAGAGCAGGGGCCGCAACAGACCTGGGTATGAAAAAAAACATTGGAGATCTCATAGCAGAAGAGCGCGTTCCTCTTTTCCGAATGGGCACTACCGAGGAAAACTCAACGTACGTTTTACTTGAGAACAGAGAATGAACCAACGAGGCAAAAAAAAAAAAAAAATTAAATTACTCTACAGGAGTTACTAGACTTCCGCGCTACCCGAGTACCGTCTACGTTTACCTGCCGGAAACCTCCGTTTCCAAACTCTCGCTCTCCACCGCGCTGCCCGAAACCCT